GAGCACCGAAAAGAGTAAATATGTCTAGAAGATTTGTTGCTACTTCCAACGCGGTTTTCGTTTTCAAAGGCCTTAGTGTTATAAATTTTGTCAAATAGTCTTGGTTTTTTAGAATAAATCTATATTCCCCATCTGCTTGTGTCTGAAGATCGATCAGATCAACTTGGCACCTTGAGTTCAATTCCGATGCCAAAATTGGCCTTACAACTATGCCTTTCTTTTTATTTTTAGACTTCTTTTGGCATGCTTCACATAAACTCAAATATAACATAATGCACTCAACAGTGATATTCTTATATTTATCATTAATTTCTTTTATCATTTTATTTCTTCCGCCATGACCAGTGCTTAGGTGAGCATTATGAATTACATCAAATATGTCGTCATTTGCTACAAAATATCTAATATTTTGCGCAGTATTATCAGAAACTATTGGTGAAATTAATTTTTTTTCTTTACCCACTGTTATAATATCAAATCGTTGTAAACGTCGATAATCCAGATCCGTTTTGCCTTTGGTTTCCGATTTCGCTTCACATACTTCCCGGATAATGTTGCTGTACTGTTCTTTACTAATAAAAACACAATTACGATTTTTATTCTTCACTATATCCATTAGCCCGTTAAAAAAAATTCCTTCATTGTAGCTAATTTTATTATTATCCAATATCAAGCAAATGCTAGCACTAAAAGAAAATCACAACTTTGTAAACAAACAATAATATGCATAACCTTATTTTCCAAAGTAAAATAGAAGTTTTTACTTTTACTGCCGCTCGTTGGTAAATGTATACATTTTCCGATTTAGTTGGTAAATGTGCATGAAAAAATCCTTGAAGTGAATTATTTCTATAATTACCAACTAAATAGGAAAATGTGTACATCTACCGGATAATGTACACATTTACCGACCTGCTTACATTTACCGTAACATATACCGGGTGGGCCAGCGAAAACGAAACAAGGCCGATATCTCGTATTCATCGTTCATTGAAAAAAATTGCTCGGACCCGTTGATTTTTATTCGGAGGGGAAAAACTTTTGCACATATTTTCAATGTTGTCACTTCACCCCTCTCGCGGGGGTAAGCTCCAACCCTTGAATCTTAAAGGGCAGTAGGGGTCGAGCGATACCTCATTTCAAAGGTCATCGAATTCTCTTTTCAACAGTGCCTATTTTTTTGAATTTGATGCAGTGGTTTTTGAGGAAACGGATTTAAAAATAGACGGAACTAGTACTGTTTTAGTCATTTTGAGCACTATCAATTTTGTAGTTATAAAAAAATTTAATTAAGAAGTGATTTTATGTGTTTTTTTTAAAAGTTGTGTGCTATCCAACTTGAAATCACAAGGTTTAAGTCTAGGTTTTTTTTATCACTCAATAAAATTCAACTAAATACATTCCAATTTTAAAAAAAAATTGAAAAAAAAAAACTTAGTAAATTCAAAAAAATAGGTACCGTTGAAAAGGGAATTTGATGACCTTTGAAATGAGATATCGCTCGACCCCTACTGCCATTTAAAATTTAAGGGTTGGAGCTTACCCCCGCGAGAGGGATGAAGTGACAATATGTGCAAAAGATTTCCCCTCCGAATAAAAATCGACGGGTCCGAGCGATTTTTTTCAATGAACGATGGATACGAGATATCGACCTTGTTTCGTTTTCGCTGGCCCACCCGGTAGTATATATTATGTAGTTTTTACTTACTACTTTTATTCAGTATGCACGCTATTTCTCTCCAAGCATCCTCCTTCTTCTTATTATGTTTGTATTCTCTATTTCTCAAATCGTATAAAAACTCGTAGGTTTGGATAACCTCCAGAAGCAATCCAGCAGTGTCTTCTGGGTTATCATCATACTGCATACTTTCTCCCACGACCGACGCCCACAGATTCAGGCATACAGAAATAAATTGATCAAATTATGGAAATCCAAAAAAAAAAAAAATACTCTAAAATTTTCCACTACTAACGCTTAACACACCGACCAATATCGAAATCAAAATAGAAATGGCTCGAAATACTTTGAATACCTACGACGAAAGAAGAATTAAATTGTAGGTAAGGTAAATAAACAGAAAAGGTTAAATTTTAAATTTGGTTGTTGCGCAGGCGTGGTCAAACGACCTGAATACCTGCTTTCATTGGCCAGGCGCTCGAACGGGAGCGTCGAATATAAAACTTAGCCATCTTCCAGCGTGAACTCGAACGCGGGCGTTTGTGTTTATAAATCAAACTTCGTGATCTGCTTGATTTATGTTGAGCGCGAGCGTAAAAGTTTTAATTCCAACTTAACTTCTCAACTTGTCAATATTATAAATTAAATCACGAATTTAATTTGGGCCCGAGGCAGAAATAAAGATAAAATCTTTTTGGAGCTAATTTCTACTGCTCTCAACTATCTTGGTATGAATCAACTGCTGATTTTAGTTTTAATTTTAATTGTCTTTTTGTCTCATCGTAATCTGTTTAAATATTATTCAATCCCACCATAAATCTCCGTATGATTTTAAGTTCATTGCGACTATTTCTAGGGATCGTTATCTCCACATGACTCCGCACCTGCGTGTCCTAACTTAAGGCCTGTTCCCACAGAAGTCTCTGACAGTTTGCAACCTGTCAGAAATAATCGCTCAGCTGAGTTACAGATTTATCTTGTAACGACAGCATTGAAAACATGTATGGGCGATGCTTACTGACAGTTTGCAAACTGTCAGAGACTCCTGTGGGAACAGACCTTTAGTATTTATCGGAGTCAAATATGTCGCAAGAATCGTGCTGGTGTTTCCGCTAAACAAAAGCACTGACAACGCATGTACACAATTATTAAACAAGTTAGCATTGTAATTAGTGTCGTTTGGTGTCTAGATTTATGAGTTCATCTTAAGGGGCAGAATCTCGTGATTCTTCCGGTTATTATTTCATTCGGACCGCCTTCTGTAGTTTAGAGGGGGTCCGTGTAATTGATGGATTAGATTTCAAGTACCTAAAAATATTTACAAAGTTGAAAAACCTACCCTATGTGAAACCAAACAGAAGCATATGTCAAGATTTGCCAAAAAAAAAATTAAATGATTTATTTCTTTTTCATTTAATGTAAATGAAACTTAATGTTCAATTTTTTTTAGTATTAATTAAACTTACATGGATAAATTTTTTGAAAATTGCATACTTATTTTTTATTTTTTTTAATATAATGGTAGGTGATTCCATGAACTCCGTATATTCCCCGTTTGTCTCTGGATACCTTTCCCGTATTTGTTTGACGACACATGCAGGAATTACAATTCTGTTATATCGTCCAATTGTTGTCCAGCTATTGATCCACGATATTAAGTTTTCATATGCCATGTGTCGCCATAACTTATTGGTGATGATTTTATATTTATCTTTTGCCGCTTTTGTTTTGCACTGCATAATTATGTTATGCCTCACAATATTTATGCCCAGTTGTACAATGGGAGTTCAGGGTAGGATAAACTACAAACAGTGGTTTAGTGAACAAAGTGTGTTGTACTATACGGGTTTAGAGATAAACTTGCTGGAAAAGCTTAGTTCAAGTTAAGTCACGGATTTTGGTGGTTTAAGGCAACAAAGCTAAGTTTAAGGAAATCATAACCTTACATTTGTTTTTGTGTAATATTTTGATTACATGTTGATTTTCTATTTTCAATTCCAATTAAAATAAAGTGAAAATAGGTAGAGGCAAATAAAAAAAACAAAAATGGATTATATGGGCTACTTGAGTGATGATGAAGATTTCCTGGAACTAGTAGACATAGTTCAAGACCGGAGATTGAGACGGGTTCAACATTTTCAGGAGAGGGAAAACCACTTTGAAAAGTGGTCAGATGAGGAGTTTCTGAGAAGATTCCGTTTATCAAAAAATGGCGTAAGATTCGTTTTTGATCGAATACAACACCTAATTACTTCCCCTACAGAGAGGTATGTACATGTAGACATAATTCATATAGTACCTTACCCTGAAGATATTTTGTTTTTTTCAGAAACCATGCTGTATCTGCTAAAGACATGCTTTTGATGACGTTGAGGTTTTATGCAACAGGAAGCTTCTTGCAAGTGGTAGGAGATTTTATTGGGGTACACAAAAGTACAGCTTCCCGAGTTGTACACAGAGTTACTGTAGCCATCGCCAGCCTCTATAACGAATTTATTCGGATGCCTTCTACAGAAGAAGAAATGAGGCAATCGTCACAAGAGTTTTATAATATAAGTCGTTTTCCAACATGCATTGGAGCTTTGGATTGCACCCATGTTCGTATATTATCCCCTGGTGGCAATGAGGCAGAATTATATAGAAATCGAAAGGGATTTTTATCATTCAATGTCCAGGCGGTTAGCAATGCTAAATGCATGTTTCAAGATGTAGTGTGTCGATGGCCAGGTTCTACACATGATGCCCTAATATTTGCAAATTCAATGCTACGAATAAAATTTGAAAGAGGGGATTTTGGTAATTATCTCATGGTTGGCGACAGTGGCTATGGTATAAAACATTATTTGATCACTCCACTTGATAATCCTGTGACTAATGCTGAAACTTTATTTAACGAGTCTCAAATTAGAACTAGAAATCCGATTGAAAGAACATTTGGCATATGGAAAAGGCGTTTTTTCAATACTAGCCTTTGGAATTAGATCAAAATTGTTCAAGGTTGAAGGAATAGTAATTGCAACTGCTGTGTTACATAATATTGCGATTTTATTGAAAGAACCTGAACCACCTCAAAATCAAGAGGAGGAAGAAGTACTGAATTTTGTCAACAATGTCGATGTGCATGCACCACAACCATATAGACAAAACATAAATAATTTAAGAAGACGACAATTAATTGATGAATATTTTGCTCGATTATAGGATATGTGTGAAGCTTATCTTGGTTATATAAAATAAAAGATTTTTTTCAAAAGCAAATAGTTTTATTGAAGTAACTAATATGCAAAAAACAATGTAATATTTTAGTAGTCCAAACCCCTTTTCACTTTCTCATTTCTTTGAGCAGTTTAAGCTTCTGTAGCTCAAATATCTCTTTTTTCTGTTTTTGCTCTTCTTTTAAGCCTTCAATAATGATTTTCTTTTCCTCCTCACTTCTAAGTATTCTTATTTGGGATTCCCTTTTCATTATATCCAATTCTTCATCATGAAGGGCTTTCATGAGTGTAATTTTGGTCTCATGTTCTTCCTCCAAATATCTTCGTTTTTCCTCTTCTAGAGAAGACTTCACGGTTGCCCACTGACTTATTTTTTTCGAAATCACGTTGTCCACGTTTTGGCCGGTTTTTGCTAAAACAATTCAATAAGTTTAAACCGAAGCTTCAAAATTTTAAATCAATACATAGAAAGGGGCTAAATACTCACTTGATGGTTTGAGAGCTTTTGACTTTGGTGTTTTCAATAAAGTAGGATTATATTTTGACCAGGTTTCTACTGGAGCCTCATGTATATCTACAACTTAAAACATTTTTTTTTTAATTAGAAAAGTAGTAGGGGAATATTTAAATTCTACAGGCTTATTTATCAGAAACCAATCACAATCAATCAATAATCATGTTTTTAGGTTTCGTTTACCTGTTTCCTGTAAATTTTCTTCAGTGATAATTTCTTCATGTTGACCATTGTCTTCAACATATTCTATTTCATTATTTCGATCTGAAATGCAAAAAAAAATATGCAACACAGATAATAGCAATAGCTTCATTACATAAAGCATTTTTTTAAGGATGCAATTAGACCGGACAAACAATGCATACATTTTTTCTTCTAAAATTGATAAGGTATCACTAGAAACACTATTAAGTTTACTGGGGTTGTTCAAAGTTGCTTTTTTAACAAGTTTGTAGAAATAAGTAAATGATTTTCTATTATTTTTATTGTTTTTGAAACAGGAACGTATGGCTGGTTTCTTGCAAATCAGCAGTAGTTCACAATAGTGTGCCAAATAAAAAATGCTTTTTTTTTGTATAGGTATTATAGGTCCTTACCAGTGTCATTTTGCGTTGCTTCCTCGGTTTCCTCAGTGTAAATAAGTATGGCTTCTATGTCTTCTAGAAACAATAAAATAAAATAAATACTTCAGATATTATTAGGTACAATAGAACTAGTTTCAGGTGTTAGGCTCAGTCTTAATTAAAATAGGGTGCAGTATACTTATCATATAAATCCTTACCTTCATTGTTATGTGTCTCCAAATTCTGGGTTGGTGAAGGAGGAGTGTGTACATTGCTTGAGTTTGGCTTTGTTTTTATTTTTTTTGGTTCTGAAAAAATATAAGCTGCATTTGAGGGGGTACTCTTGGGTTTTCTACTGGGAATTAAAACAAGGAATTTTTGCCGCTCATGATTTATGAAAATAATCAATTTACCTGCATCGCCTCCAAATTGGGTGGCCAAACCATGCACCCTTGTTTTCCCCAAAATTTCTATTACAGTTTGGTCGGCTTCCGTCAGAGTAAACTCTTGAAAAGGGCCACCACCAGTTCCAAATCTGTAGCATTTCTCTTCACTTATTTTCTTTTTTGTTTGTTTCTTCATATTCTCATATTTCTTTTTCAAAATTTGGGCACTTCTGTATGAGGCACCACTTTCAGCGTTGAATTCTTTTTCCAGCATGACCCAACACTTATTTTTATCTGCATTCGTGACGGCATCGGTTTTTTTGTTTTCCAAAATGCCTTTATGTTTTTTTACAAAATAGGCTAGGAGGGTTTCTTCCATTGGGGTAAAGTTAACTGACCTATTTTTAACTTTGCCTTTAGAGTCCATTTTTTGGTTTCACAAGACGAAATTATAAATTTTCAAATTCGCAACCACAACCTTCACTAAACTAAAATCCAACAAAACTGGAAACAACGGCCCGCCAAACAACAAAAATCACATAAACATAACCTCAAAATAAAGAATATTTTCTTCTTTTTTTCTTTTTTCGCTGAGGGCGTTGCAACAAGATATATTTAGGCACCGGAATACAGCGATGCCAAATGGTTCAAAAAAAAAACCAAGCTTAGTAAAACTCTAGCTCGGAAATATTTGTACAGTATCGGAAATTAAGCGGAAGTTTAGGAATTTGTTTGGTTTAGCTAAGTTGGGCTTTAAACTTTTATTGTACAACCGGGCCTTAGAGAGTCTAAATTCAAAACAATGTTTTCAAAACTGTCATGTGATGTTAAGCAATTATTTTTCCCTCTAATTTCTGTAATTAGATCATTTTCGCAACAACACAAACACTTGTGGGCATTAATATACAGTTAAAACTCTTGCACCATGTAAGCGAATTAAAGTCTTTCAGGGTTTTTGTCAATTTTTCCTTTTTCCTCGTTGTTTTTTAATTCCTCAAGTTCTTTTTTAAAATATTTGGTTCAAAACCAAAAGCCATTATTATTGAAGAAAAAACTTAGAATATCTTATCTTAAATTAAGAAACCTATTTAAACTTGAACGCAAAAACAATACGATAATAGACACTTTAAGTTAGACAAAATACGTTAACGCTAACGTAAGATTTGACAGCTGCGCATGGGCAGTTTCTTTTCACCAAAAATAGCGTGTTACTTGTCACGTTATTTAGCGGATCTTTGCGTGTACCTTATCCGTAAACGTTCGTTAAACCGAGTAGGCCCGAAAGCCAGATTGCCGGTGTCGATCTTTGCCGAACCTTGAAAAAAAGGTGTCATGTAATTCAAAATAATCAAAATACAAAAAATAATTTCTAATTTGACCTTTCCACAACAAAATTTAGAGGTTAGGTCATGATTGTGAGATATAACGTTAAAGTTTACGTGAAAATTTAACTTAAACTGATTTGGGAGCACCGACGGTCCCTTAACGCTATAGTTAAAAATAGGGTTTACGTTTAAAGATTACGTTAACGTGTTTGGTCCAACTTAAAGTGTCTAATCTCGATATATGCAGCAAGCATGATCAAACGCGCGCACAACGCCGGCCGGCGACTCAGCTATGGTTCTGTCGTCACAGTGCTGGGAGTAGCAACTTCATACCGCGATATCTTCGCAACGGTTGGTCATAGCCTAAAGCGGTTTGAAAATTTGTTCTTAGATTTTTTTTCTAAAACTTTTATTTTTGGGTCACGCCCCCTTTGATATTAGCAGCCTATCTTTCTCTTAGTTCGTTACGATGGCGTTTTAAAAATAACTTAATCCAATCATCAGCAGAAATATTATCAGTGAAGCGTCGTTCTTGAATACCACGGCTGGTTTAAATAATTTTTAACGGACATTTTCAACCTCACTTTGTCATGTCATCCAGCTGTCAGAATTGTCAATTAGTTTTATCACGAAAATTAAATAAAAAACCGAATAACTCGTGCCTATTCTATTAATCATAGAAAAAGTATAGTATTCTACTCGTGGGTAATGGCTATTACTCACTCGGATGATTACACTGTTCGCCTGCGGCTCGTAGTGCAAACTTCATCATTATTCGCTCGTTAAATAATATACTATTTATTCAATCAAGTAAAGATACTACCCGTCGTCGCTTTCCTCCAGCTCTTCGGCAACCATTGTAAGATTTTAGCTTTCAGCAAAGTTTTTTGTGTTTTGCTTTTAATCCTCTCTAGCATCTCGATTAAACCTCTACCAAAATACAAATCAGCCTTGTCCTTTTTGCCACTGTCTTCCTCTGTCGCTAGTTCAGTTGCTTGTTTTAGGAACATATTGATATTTTGGCCCACAGAGGCACAAGTCTCAGCAATTTCGTCTATGTCCTCCGATCCAGCAGGGACTTGTTTACTGGCTTCTTTATTTTTCAAGACACTCGGAATCGTAGGGGTCTTGTCCACACAATCTGAAGAGTCGTGAGTCTCAGAAAAATCAGTAGCCTCAGGAGTCACTCCTCGATTCTCAGCAGAATCAGCATCAGTTGCTGAGCTTAGCAAAAAACCATCCTCCTCTACAATCATATCAAACCAGGAAGGTCCCGCAACTGCTTTAATTTTTCTTTTTATGGTTATGTTAGTTTTATTTCTGAAATTTAGGGTTTCCTATTGGGCCTAACCATCAAACCTTCATCATTAAAACTCTGAATTTTTAGCTACTCAAACCTTTTGTTTTACAATCACCAGTCCAATAAGTTGATCAAAGTCAATGAACTATAACCAAAAACTGGAATGCGCACACATATTGACGAACGTGAAGCCTAGTGCCTCTGCTGCGGAGGGGATACCTGTTTTTGTCGCACTCATTGTGTTAAATTGCGGAATTTGCTTCCAACACGTATTCCAATTGATGAAACCTGTGAAGGTAAATATGACAAAACTTTCCAAATCGTCATATGTCAGCGAGCAACAGAAAAAAACAACATTCCCCCTTGTGGCATCTGTCTTTCATGGCTTCATTTTTTTTGGCAGATATGGCAATGTGTGCGCATTCCAGTTTTTGGCTATAGTTCATTGATTAAAGTATATTTTAACTAAGTGACGTATTGCCTTTTAATTTATCATTTCGACACCGATACAACCACCGACACCTCTTGGACACTCCTTCAAAAATATTTCATTTTTGAAGTTGTGAAACTCTCACAACAGACGAATTATAAGTAAAAACAACGAATTTCCATTTTTCTACAGTTATGTGTTCAAAATAAATAGTTTCAGGCAAATCCTGGTAGCCTCAGCTCGAAAGCAAATTTGGTTTTGAAATTTTCAAATTTCATCACACTTCAAATTTGACATTCCCATATACAGAATGATCCCAAGATTTCAAAACTAATGAAAAATACTAGGTTGCCATTTGGATTTATGAAGCTATGGTCAGACTTTCACACATACGTCAAAAGATGAAATTCGCCAAACCTAAACTCCTCACGGAAATTTATTTCGATCGGAAAAAAAATAAAAAAATGCCAGACTGAAAGCAATCTCTTTGACATCCGGTATATACATGCATACTCAGTAGGTGAAAAATAAATGAAATCAAAACTTACACTCTGAAGATAACTAAAAGTAAAAAAACTGAAAATAAACTCTGAAAAAAAAAAAAGGAATGTGAGATGCAAATCTAAAACAATAGTTCATCGTTGATCGAACAAATCCAAAATATCATTCTCTGGAATAGAATCAGTCTTACTATTCGTCTCTTTTGATTTAATTTCGATTAATACTTCTTTGGGTATAACATAATCAACGCAACATTTTAGGTCTCTTTCTAACCCGCACCTAATGTAAATAATCGCATCTGTTGTTTCTGGGGGCGGATTCTATAAGCTCAAAGCGAAACAATGACGTTCGTTATGAAACGCTTTGTTCGGTTTGCTATTCTATAACCCCTTTCGGGAAGAATCGGGGACACCGATCACGAAGCCGATTGCAAAGCGAAAGCGATGAATTTTGACTCGCGTTTTGTTTCGCTTTCCACTGGAAAATTTCCAATTTCCATAGTGATTGGTCGATCATCGTCACGTTAGAGAATTACGGGTTATGTTATTCGTTTTGATCTTGACGAGGTTTTTATTAAATATGTAGATTTTTGATTGTTTGTGCAATTTTAACTTTTCTCTATCAAATTTAATTCATTAATTTATTTAGGTATAATTTCGACTGCAAAATGGAGAAAAAATCAAAAATACATCCGTTTCAACCTCTATCTGTTAAACCAAATGGGTTACTTCTAGCTCGAATCATTGTATAAATCTAAGGTATAAACAGTCTTTTTATTCATTGTTTAAAAAGGACCCTACTGTCTTCTCGCGTTAATCTGGGTTGATTTCTTCACTCGAGTTCGCTATATACCTCTACAACAAATTGTACCGGCAACATTTTTATCACACAATAATTTGAGAAATGCAATATAAATATTATAGAAAGAAAAAGAGGAATAATAAATAGGAATGATTAATTGACCTTTTCTATTTAAAAGCTTCTCTCTCTAGCGTCCAACTGTCAGACGCCAAAAGAGTATGAAAACAACGGTTGACAGCCGCTGACAGTGGTTTGTTGACAAGACTTTTGTACATGTGGAAACTGGAAACTATTATTTCCTCGGTTTTTTCAAAGTTTTTTCCCAACAATGGTGATTGTGTAGTGTGCCTTTTTGTAAAAATAATTCCTATTTACCGGCGGACGTGTCTTTCCATAAGTTTCCATCAAATCCTACATTTGTCAAATTTTGGATACATAAAATCAGAAAGAATACTCGCAAAAAAAAAGGGAATCCACGGCCCATCAAGTATACAAAGTAATCCACGTTCAAGTTTAGTTTGCGGGAGCTGTTTGCTTCCAAAATAATTCACCGCTTTCTCCTTAGCGAAGTTCTGCAAATGAAGTAGTAACTCTTCCCACAATTTCTTTCAAAACACCCAATACACACTGGCATTGACAAGCAAGCAAATATTGGCGGGAACATGATTGTTTTCATACTTTATTGTCCATCTCTTTTAATTGAAAACGTCAATTATGTCATTGAAGTTTCAAATTTTCAAAATCGAAATTTGGGGTATGTTCCTATATTGGTTCCTTTTAATTTTCTCTTCTTTTTTTATAGTTTTTGCTCTGGGCTCATATACCTACAATGTTGCCATGATTATTTAACCATACGTCGTTCACACTCGTATTTTGTCGTATGACACTATGAAAACGAAGCGGAAGCGAAGCGAACACCTTATAGAATATCAACAAAAATCGACTTCGCTATGGTTTAGCTTAGCTTCGCGATATAAACGAAAATTACAGAATTCCCTAGCTGGTAACATTTTATTCCTTAATTTGGTTTTTATAATGTTAAGTTTTCCAAATAGCTTTTTAATTTCCGC